TGTGGATTTTCTGTAGCATGAGTAATCTTTTTTTAAAAAAGTTGAAAATAGGTGTTTGTTATCCTCTGCTAATCTCAATGCTTTAATTTACATTAACTGGTGCATCTTCATTAACTGAATAAAGTTAACTGAATCTCTCCAATCCTACCACCCAAATAGACTGAACATTTCAATCCATCCTCTGTAAGATAATAACACCATCCCTTCTGCAATTTTCAGATGGCTGGAAAAGAAGCAGGCTCTTGTTTCAAATAGGATTTCTACCCATTTCCCAAATGTAAATATTTGCACTTTACTAGCAAACCTAAGCATTTACTTTCAATTTACAAAAAAATTGTCACTGATCTGCCTGGCAATTATGTGATTTTACATCTTAACTGTCAGTGTGTTCAGAAGAACCCTAACCCTGGCAAGATTTAATGTTCCAACCGCAGTTTTTGAATGGAAATTACAGAATATCATATTGTGGGAAAGGAGTTCCTGAAACATTAACCCACATTTTGCTGTTCTACCCTTGTTATACTGATGCCTGAATGCTATTATCAAGGAGAGAAGCAACCTAGAACTAAGAGAAAATTTCTTGACAGAACAATAAATCAGTGGAACAAGTTGCCTCCAGAAGTTGTGGTGCTCCAACGCTGGAAGTTTTAAAGAAAAATTCGGACAACCATTTGTCTGAAATGGTACAGTGTTTCTTGGCTGAGTAGCGGATTGGACTAGAACAGTATCAACTATCTGTCTATCAACAGTAGAGACCATTTCTAGGCTCTATCATATCTCAAGACCTAAAATGGACACCTAACATCAAAAACATCATCAAAAAAGTACAACAAAGAATGTTCTTTCTGCGCCAATTCAAAGCTCGAACTGCCCAAGAAGCTGCTGATACAGTTCTACAGAGGAATTATTGAGTTTGTCATCTGCACCTCTATAACTGTCTGGTTTGCTTCTGCAACCCAACAGGACAGACACAGACTTCAGAGGATAATTAGGACTACAGAAAAAAACAATACCAACCTGCCTTCCATTGAGGACCTGTATACTGCACGAGTCAAAAAGAGGGCTGTGAAAATATTTACAGATCCCTCACACCCTGGACATAATCTGTTTCAACTCCTACCCTCCAAAGGACACTATAGAGCACTGCACACCAGAACAACTAGACACAAGAACATTTTTTTCCCGAACGCCATCATTCTGCAAACAAATAATTCCCTCAACACTGTCCAACTATTTACAAAGTGTGCACGACTATTACTGTCAATCTTCTCATCACTCCTTATCACCCATCTCCTCCCACTTGTGACTGTATGATTGCAACTTTGTCGCTTGTATCCTCACGATTTATATTGACTGTTTCCTAGTATGATTTGATTGCTTATTGTACCCTATGACTATCATTAAGTGTTGTACCTTATGATGCTTGACTCCTGATGAATGTATTTTTTCTTTTATGTATACTGAGCATTTACAACAAGACAAATTCCTTGTGTGTCCAATCATACCTAGCCAATAAAGAATTGTATTCTATTCTAAAAAAAAAGACTTGCAAAATCTCTATCAACTCTGTTATTCTGACAAATACCCATCTAGTCTGATTTCTGTGTTAGCCAGATTCAGTTTATTTTAAGCTATCTGATCCATGTGATTTTATTTCTCTGAACATGGCTAAGTTGTGTTTTGCTGTTTGTATGATAGGCCACATTTTTATTTGCTGCTCAGAATGTGTTTTTGTTTTTGAATTGGTTGGTGACTAGTATCTTTCTTCCTGTCATTTTTGTCTTCTGTTTTTTTTTTCTTGAGATTTGGACTAGTGCCAATTCATTGATAAAAAAAGAACACTGGATATTTATTTATTATATTTGGCTATCTAGTTATCTATCGTATGGTGCATTCACAACATATTTCAATAAAAAGGAACACAGGTAAATTACAAAACATAGAATATGAAATCTGAACTCCTAACAGGATGATTAGAAACGTGTGTCTAAGTTGCAAATATAATTTTTTACTTCATATGTCACGAACAGGAAATCAGTGAAATCTCTGATCATAGGCTCTGTTTGTGGTTGTGACATTCTGTCACTCTGTGGTTGATAATTTGTTTTTTGGCCCCACACTCACAATATGGTGATGGTATTTTGCCACACCCCTTGTAGAGGGGTTTCTGCGCATCTGTCATGACCAGTGCAACTTTGGTTCAGTGTTGTCCGTATCGTTTGGAGCTGGTCAAATCCAGGTGGTTTTTCCAAGATGCAGAGAAAGCCTCAACATTGGGGTGGTGGGGCTATATTTTTATCCCCTGTTGTTTTCACATGTTGTGTGTGTCAAACACAACATACAAGTGCTGATAGCTGGATGTCTAGATCTCAGCCTGTTTACCTCCAGGCAGGCTATATTGCTTAGTATTGGCAACTGGAAATTATCAATAATCTTCCGTTATTCTTGAAGAAGGCCCTTTTTTGACTGCTGGAAAAAGGAGAGGAAATAGTTGAATGTGCCTATTTTTATATTCCAGTGACATCATTTATCAGTTTATGATGAGAAAAATAAAATACAACACATGAAGACTTCTCCTAAATCAGACTAAAGAAATTATCAATGCAGGGCAGCATTTTATTGTCAGATTAGTTAAATCTTCAAGTTGCTTCTCACAAAACCTGTAAACAATTGCTTTTTCTAAACCTCTACAATTTTTGACAAATGTATATAAACGGCAAAAATACTAAGCTAATACATAACATAACATTTTTACTCTTTTTACAGTAGGAAGTCTTCAAAAACTTTATCCCCAGCTTTATTTTACTGAATATATAAGAACTCAGGGACATTTGTAGAAAAGAGATCAAGAGTCCCATGCCCATATACAACATCAAGGATATACAAAAGAGGTGGGATTTGTGATTACCACCTTGACTTTTTTGACCTCTCCACAGAAAACCTGTGACAAATGCAGTACTTGTTTTTCATTTGTGCATATTGGAATAGATGCTAGATCTACTGAATCATGATACTGTAAAAACGCATGTTTGATTTTTCATATCAAGCACAGTCATTAATCTTAAGCACATTAGCATCACCAGTGATTCAAGAGTCAGTCTTTTCAAAATGGAAAGTTCACTGCTGGTTGAAAGCTGATTTTAGCACTGGTCTCCATGATCTGAAATGGCTCGGTCATGACCTTCTATATTTTGTCACCTTAGATTCACAGCTGTTCAGTATTAGAAAACAGTGATTCTCAAGTTTCAGGTTTAATTCCTCATTGCCTAGCAACTGACAGAAGCACCTCGCCAAATCATGCTTTGTTTCAGTCACTAAATCCTGAGACATACCTTTGGCTTGTTTAATCACCTTAGATGAACTAATCCAGAGCAGGGGAGGGGAAAAAATAATTGCCAAGCAATTTAAATCCTAAGAGTACTGTATGCAGTTCCTGGAAGCATCCAGATTCCAAGAAAATTCTTGATTATCTTTTCTGTCTTCAGCAAGTTCTTTAGAAAGAAGAAAAAGATATATAAGCTGTCCCAGAACTCTTTGTTCCTTTTTCCAGTTGGGTGTTGGCATTTCCTGGCCCTGACCAGGCTGAGTCTTTGAGAATCTTGCATGATTCTGTTAATGTAGCCTTGCAATAAAGTAGAATTAGTTCATCTACTTGTGTTTCCTGACTGGTTTATTTGGGAGGACTGACATCAATTTTGCAAAACTCAAGGTACAGACTTTTAACAGCTTGATCGATTAAGATGGGTCCTTTCTAAGTTTCTCTCTCTGACCCTTAAGTCACTGGAGGTTCCTGCCTCTGTTATCTGATGGCTTCCTAGGCAGCATCACTTCCCATCTCCCCGCAAGGTCATCCACACATTCCATTACAGTTAGCCAGAAAAGATGCTAACTCCTGAATTTTTGTTGCCAGTATAAATAAGCAAGGTCTCTTCCTACTATAATTCTGAACCTATGCCTCCTGAAGTTACCTCATAACATCAGTTCTTTTTAATTATCCATTAGCAGCCTTGAAGTAAAGCTCTTAGTATTTCTCTTGTAATCATTCTAAATTACTCTGGTGGCATTTTTCTTCTGTTTTTTTCTTTCTAGTTATATTAATTGAAGGCCAGGAAAATGTTATAATGGTTAATGTATTTGAGGTAGGAAAAGGGAGACTCAAGTTTAAATCTACCCTTGGTGGAGACTCAGACCGGTCATTCTCCTTACGCTCATCTTATCTCACAGGATTGTTGTTGTGGGAAAACAATAGGGAAGGAAGTGCTACATATTGCACCTTGAACTATGGGATATAAAATTAACAAATAAAATATCCTTTGTGTTTCTGGGCTTCATTTGGTTCACATAACTCTTTGGACCCTAGTATTTAGTATTAGTGTGTAACTCTATATCAGTGTTTTTCAGCTTTGGCAACTTGAAGATATGTGGACTTCAACTCCCAGAATTGCCCTGCCAGCACATGCTGGCTGGGGAATTCTAGGACTTGAAGGCCACACATTTTCAAAATACCAAGGTTGAGAAACACTGGCCTATATAATGAAGGCTGGATGTTATAAGACAGTCATGTTCTTTGGTATATAGTGAACAATTGGAATTTTTCCTTTTATTATTTATTTTATGTATATGAAAATATTGGTTGACTAAGTTATTTTCTTCCGTATGCAGGTGAACGATTTTTGCATTAACTGGCCTTCAACATTTTTGACTCAATATTATCAATCTGAACAAATTTTCCCCAAATGTGTAAGCCAGAATTAATTATTCTTCATAACAGTGCATAAATCCACTATATATTTCAAATTTAAAAATATCTATACTAATAATATATGTGTATGTATTAATGTTTGCATGTCTATAGGGATAGGGGCTCTCAGGCAATATAGAACTGCAATGTATTCCCTCTGAGTATTACTTGTTCAGATGTCAGCATGCAGGTAAAAAAAGTACTTTTTAATTTTTTAATTATTCATTGCTAACTGGAAATTACAATTATTCCATTCTAGGAATAAAGATGAAAAATGGATGTCCAGGGCTTGGCTTGTTCTATACATTATTATCTGCCTTCCTGTTCTCTGTTGCTTCTCTATTTCTAAAGAAAATTGAAGATGTTCATTCAGTGGAAATCAGTGCTATTAGATGTGTTTTTCAAATAACATTTGTTCTTCCTGGATTAATATACTTCAAGTGAGTATTCTCTCCCGTTTGCGTGTAAAAAAAAACTTCATAGAAGATTAAAATGTATAAAAAAATATATGGACTGGATATATGTCTATGGAGATCTTCAATCATCCAGAGTCTAGATCAGGGGTGTCCAAAAGATGCTTTCAAAAAGGCAACTGGACTTCTTTGTTTTTTTCCTTGAAACGTTTCACTTCTCATCCAAGAAGCTTCTTAGTTAGAACAAAAAAAAAAACCATGAGAGTCTAGTTGCCTTTTGAAAAGGTCCTTTAGGACAGGGGTCTCCAACCTTGGCAACTTTAAGACTTGTGGACTTCAACTCCCAGAGTTCCTCAGCCAGCTTTGCTGGTCTTAAAGTTGCCAGGGTTGGAGACCCCTGCTTTAGGATATGTGGGGTGGGTAAATATAACCATATAGTATGTTAAGTTTTAATCAGAACATTATATACGATTGTATACTTTTTGCAGCTAACATGACTTACTTCCACAATATTTTAAATTGATACAGGGATGCATGACGTGCATTTTACAAATCTGGAGGAAAGCTAACGTGATGATAGCAGAGTTAAATCCAATTAAGGTGCTGTCAGATCTATGTAAAACAGGATTGGGGGAAAGGAAGATTAATACAGTAACTTAAGCAGGCAGAACCAGAATCCTGACTTCTCCTCGGGTTGGCTTTTTTACCATTTTTATATATTTATACATTATTTATATTACATGTTTATCTTGATGGGATTTCCCAGCCAGAGAAAAGAGCAGCATAGAAGGGATTTGAAGACAGAGTAATCAACCATGAATAAAATAGGAGACCTCTGTTCTTTGGCTTTCAGGGTCCTTCTTTAGCAAAGGTTTAAAGACTGCCTTATTACATTGCTTAATGCATTCACCTGAGCCCATATCCTAGACAAGTGCTCACTAATGTGTGAGGTTGCCATTGAGTTTGATTCAGGAGATGAAGGTGCTAAATCAAGAGAACTGGCAGTTGTACAGATGTATGAAGGTGACAGCATCTGGCTCATCTCTTCCAAGATGTGACACTACCAGGGAATAAGGGATCCCATTTCATGGTTATTTTAATTATTGATCTTTGTTGTTGTTTTTCCCTGTCTGATATTTACATTTTTTTATAATTTTGTTATATTGTTTTTATTCTGTTTTTAAGTATTGTTAGCTGTCCGGCATTATATATTGGTGATGGGTAGCCAAATACATACATATATACCAAAGTTGTAGACCAGATTGGGAAATTTTTAAAAAAAAATCCCCAAAGAAGACAATGGCAAACCACGTCTGAACTATTGTTCACAAAATTGCATAGGCGTCCCCATGAGTCAAGTTCAACTTGAATGAGTCTTGTATAGCTTTCATAAGATGACATTAATAGTTTGAGCTTCCTAATTATAAGCTCAGTAACAGATGAAGACAGAGGAGAATGACAAAATGCAGACTATTCTGTGTGGAAAAAAAATCTAGTGAACAAAAGCATATGTGAAATGCTGAAAATGTTTTGGGGCCATCCTTTGATGGTGGATTGATGCCAGTGGGGGATCTCTTCTTAATGGTTGATTTAAAAAAAGAGTTATATTAGTTGAGAACTATGACTTGGATGAGTGAGGATCTCCACAGGCATTCTATTAGTAGAATTGAATAGCTTCAATAAATACCCTATAGCAGTGGTGGGATTCAAAATTTGTTACCACTGGTTCTGTAGGCATGGCTTGGTGGGCGTGGCAGAGGAAGGATACTGTAAAATCTCCAGTCAGAGGTGGTATTTGCCAGTTTTCCAAGCTACTCAAAATTTCTGCTACCGGTTCTCCAGAACTAGTCAGAACCTGCTCAATGCCATCTCTGCCCTACAGGCTGCTTATTTGAGATAGGGAATACATATTTCATTTTGTTTACTTATCAAATTTATTTGCCACCTGTCTCAAAGTTAACATTAAAAACAAACAAACTTGTAAGCATATTTATAAGTTCGATGAACTTCAGAACCTTGAAGAAAGTGCATTTGATATAAGGGTTAAAAATATGGGTTATATGATGGAGTTAGCAGAGATGCCTAAATTGACTGTTTTGATTAAAGAAAAAAAAAACCACAAATACCTTTATTTCTACTTGGAAACCCCTTCTGGACTTTGTGCTTGAGGTGGAAAAGAATGAAACTTTGATTTTGGGTTTTACCGATCAGATAGATTTGTTGTTATAGGAATGGCTAGTTTCTATTATGAAAAAGTAAAAAGTTGAGGGTAGATGGTAATGCCTTATTTTACTGCACCAAAGGAGTCGGAAGTCAATGCCTTTTTTTTCCTTTTCCCTTGCTTTCCCTCACTATCCACTTCCCTTTTTCCTTCCCTAATTTCCCTAATATTTACTTTTGTATTCTCATTGTATGTCTTACTATAAATTAGGTAGATAGGTAGGTAGAATAAATCTATAGCTTTATTTATATCTATATAGATATAGGGACACGGTGGCTCAGTGGCTAAGATGCTGAGCTTGTCAATCAGAAAGTTCAGCAGTTCGAATCCCTAGTGCCGCATAACGGAATGAGCTCCCATTACTTGTCCCAGCTTCTGCCAACCTAGCAGTTAGAAGCATGTAAAAATGCACGTAGAAGCATAGGGACCACCTTTGTTGGGAAGGTAACAGCGTTCTGTGCCCTTTCGGCGTTCAGTCATGCCGACCACATGACCACAGGGACATCTTCGGACACCGCAGGCTCTTCAGCTTTGTAACAGAGATGAGCACCACCCCCTAGAGCCGGAAATGACTAGCACATATGCGCGAGGGGAACCTTTACCTTTTTATAGATATAGATACAGATAGATATCTATAGATAGATAGAATATGGGTTATAAAAGGTACTAAAGTTAGTTATTAGGAGAATTTACATGAAACCATTGTAACAGTATTGTTCTTGAATTTGAATTTCTATTGCTTGTTCTAAAATTCATAGTGTGATTTTAGGGGTATTGAGGTATGCTTGACTCTCAAGCATAAGGTACATATGATGTATCTCTCTCTCTTCTCTGTGTTTCATTTCAGAACAGGATTCCTAGGACCAAAGGACAAGCGAATAGTTCTTTTCCTCCGAGGATTCCTTGGCTCTAGTGCAATGATCCTTATTTATTATTCTTTCCAAGTGATGCCACTTGCTGATGCTACCGTCATTACATTCAGCAGCCCGGTTTTTACGTCCTTCTTTGCCTGGATCTTCCTCAAAGAGAAATACAGTCTCTGGGACCTTCTTTTCACCCTGCTTACAATCACTGGAGTAGTGTTTATAGCAAGGCCCCCTTTTTTATTTGGATCCAACGTCCTTGACATGGAAGAAAGTTACACAGATCACCTTAAAGGAACCATAGCAGCCATTGCAAGTGCAGTAGCCGCTGCCTTAACTTTTGTGATCCTAAGGAAAGTGGGGAAATCCGTCCATTACTTTTTGTCCGTTTGGTATTATGCAATAATTGGGTTAATTGTGTGTATAATCACACTTTTTATAATGGATGCGTGGAGTTTGCCCAATTGTGGTATAGACAGATTTCTTCTAATTTTAATTGGATTGCTAGGACTTGGTGGTCAGATATTTCTTACTAAAGCATTACAGATTGAAAAAGCTGGCCCCGTTGCTATAATGAAAACCATGGATGTGGTTTTTGCTTTTATTTTTCAAGTCCTTTTTCTTAATCATATACCAAGATGGTGGACAGTGGGGGGTGCTCTTTGTGTGGTAGCCAGTAGTTCTGGAACAGTTTTCCGCAAGTGGTATCAAAATTCCAGAAGAAGCACAGAACAGAAAATTTAAACCGCTAGATGGTCTACCTTTGTCAAATAGAACAAAGTATTATGATACTTATTTTAAACAATTCATCAATTGGCCAGTTCTCTCGAATCCATATTCATTAGCTAGGTAGTAATCCTAACCAGAACCAGCTTGTTTTATATCAGGGATGATTCTATCAAGAAGAAAGATTGTTTTTGTGTGCCAAATTTGCCTTGTTTAGCAGCCTTTGTGCCTTGCAAATACAGCAATTTCATGATAGGTTATGAGTATTCTTTAGGTTCAAAAAATGTTGCAAAACCAAAATGCCACAAGATTTGCCTACGTGTTTAGAAAATAGGTTTTGCAACCTAACTGTAATTTCTTAATGTATCCCTGTTACACATTTTCATAAAACTGACCCCTTGGCACCAATGTATGCACTATAAAATCTATGAAAAAGGAAGCACTGTGAAGTTGCACATCCTCCTCCTCCACCTCTCTTATAACTTGAAAAGTGTAGCCAAACTCTTAACTTCTAAATCATTCCAAAAGTGGGATTTGTGAAGTATAGAATTATATCTTATTTCACAATTTAAATTTAAATTGATGCAATTTTGGTTTCACGGTGGAACTGGGGGAAAGGTCAGTTATTTGTGCTGTGATTTTCCAATTTTCATTCAACTTGAAATGTTGGTTACAACATCTGAACATTGTTTTTAGTCCATTGACTTCTACAGGGTAAATATAATTGGCTATAATATGCCAATTGCAGCAGATAATGATCTGTAAATGCTTTTGATGTAAACATGAGGTGCTTCCACTGTGCCCACACTTTGAATTTTAATTTAGGTAACTTTACACTACTTTGACTGCATATGATATTGTATGACTAAATCATGCAGATTGCAGGTTTGAAATTACACTGCATTACAGCCTCATAAACTTTTAAAACATAAAAGTAAAATAACATATACTGTACAAAACTTCCTTTTACAATACTCAAAGCATCAGTTTTATTATTTTAGTGTAGCACATTAACTAAATTCAGATGGGTCTCTTTTCAACTGCAAAATTAATTCTTGTTTCTTTTTGTCCACTAAGTCTCTAAAGAACAGATTGTTTTTATTTAAAAAAATTATGAATACTACTTTTGATATAATTATGTCTTGTGTTTTCTTTAAACAGGTTTTTATTGTATATGAAGAAATGTAAACTATTTGTGTGTCTTAAATGCATTCTTTCTGGGTGGAAGGAGTGAAAGCCATACTGTGCTAGAGTTGTATGCAATGTTCTATGCATGGAACAGTTGCTTTTGAGATGCTCATGCCTGACCCATTTTGAGTAACCCATTGTGAGGTCTGTACATGAAAGGAAAAAAAGGCAGTTTTGATCCGGGGAAAAGGAATTGTGGGTGGGGAGGCCTGCGTAGAAAGCAACTAAAGAACAGGAAACAGGAAGCACAGATTGGACCATGGAGACACTGTTCTGGATATGGGCCAGCTGAGAAGAAAGAGAAGACTCTTGATAGGGCAGGTGAGCTAATCAGATGTGCTGTGCCAGAAGCTAATGAAAAAAGGGAGTGAGGAAAGTACACTGGCTTCCCTATTTATCTTTAACTTCACCTAACTCAATCAAAGTGGTCCAGGGTTTGGTACTACTCAATCACGTATGGTCCAGAATAGTTCAGTGGAAATTCCAGAATGTGGGGGTTTGTTCTGAGTTTGAAAACAAGCATTTTCCTCTTTTCATGCATACCTTCCTACTAGTATTCAACTACTAAAATTCAAGTAAAGGAATAAATTGAATGAAATTCCTCCACCATCTGTCTGCCAACAGAAGGGTCATCCTTACTAGAACATTCTCCCTGTCCTACCAAAGCTGCATTGTGGATAGGTACTGCACGGGGAGAAAAGCTAGGAGAAATTACTTGGTCAGGAAGATGTCTGCTTGCTCAGTGCACAGTGGAACCCAACAATTACACTTGCACAGGGCCATTTCTTTTCAGAGAAACAGGCTGTAGCTGCTGCCTTCTGCAATACTATGCATTTTAACAATCAGTCGTATTCCCGTATAATTAAAGCATTATTTGTTTATGAAATGTTCCATTTAAGATGGTAATTTTGTTACATATTAAAAATAAATATAAATAAAATATCAAAAATAATATGAACCAAAAGTGTGCAGCCTGAAAAAAAAAAAGTCATTACCCTCAAATTATATTAACACTGCTGCATGATATTGCATGCGGATATGCTGTTGAATATTATCAGGAATGGTGTATGTGTCAATTGAAATCCATTTATTTTAATTGATTGGTTAATGATTGATTTAGGCTCGGTTTATGTCTCTGATAATTCCAGGAGAGTAATTGTAATCTAGTAGTAAAAGTGTTTCAGTTATTCTTCTGAAGACATAAGTTTGTACAAGGATCCCTTTCAAAAAGAAGAAAGGGATTCATAAAAGGGTTGTTTAGACTATTTTGTATACATATGACCAGTGGTGGGTTGCAAATTTCTTAACAACCGGTTCTCTGATTGGGTAGGCGTGGCCTGTTGGTCATGTGACTGAGCGGGTGATGTCACTCATCATGCCCAGCCTCGCCACCCAGCCACTTGTCTCAAAGGAACAGGTAGGATACAGCTGGTTGGGGCTAATCCCACCACTGGCTGGCTGCGCCCCACCCATTTTTTGGCCTGATTTTGGGCCATTTTCAGGCCCTTTTACCAGCCAAAATCAGCCTGAAAACGGGCGGAAAAATGGCCTGAAAACAGCCTGAAAAATAGGCTGTTTTGAGGCTGATTTGGGGGCCTTTTCAGGCCATTTTTCGGCCAGAAAACGGCTGAAAACGGCCCAAAAAACAAGCAGGGGCAGGGCCAACCAGTGGTCCAATTTTCTGGTTCTCCAATCAGCGCAGAATTGGAACAAGGGGTTTGGGCAAACCCGTCCAAACCTGCAGCAGCCTCTGCATATGACTAATAAAATAAGACCTGGGCAAATATTACATGGGGCATATCCGCAGACACCCAAGAAGTTATACTGAACTTTTTTGCAAAAGACATGTCCTTACTGTGGAGCTCTCTTCCATGACCAGCCCACATCTGAGGAGGGCTGAAGCTGCATCCTGATGGTGTTTTCCATGTACCATATTTTTCCATCTATAAGATGCCCCCATGTATAGGACACACAAACACACACACACTGCAATGACTGCAATGGGTCATGGCAAAATGGTTGCTAAGCAAACCACATGATACAGAGAACTGAAGAAGCTTCTTGAATGAGAACAGAAACATTTTCAAAAGGAAAAAAAACAAAGTCCAATCATATTTTGGAAAAAGCACCTTTGGGACAACCATGATTTGAATGATTGAGAATCTCTATAGACATTCTGTCTCATTCAGCTAAAGTTCTCCCCTACGGTACCCTGTGCCTGACCTGGGAATCCCCCCCCCCTTTTTTTTTTTGCCCTATTGGAGGGCAAATAAATTATTCAAATCCCTTCCTGAGCTGCTTTTTTTCACAATGCCTCCCTCCCTCCCTCCCTAAAACTTGGAAGTTAATAAGCTCAGCCTTGTGACCTTGTTCAGTTGAGTAGAATCTACTCCACAGCTGGCGATGCTGCCTGAAACTGAGCAAAATCGGTTTCACATGATGCCTTTTGTTGTGCTAAATGCCTGCATTGGTTATATTTGTACTTTACTTTTTTGTACTTGTTGATTTGTTCATTTCCTTGCTTGCTTACTGACTGCACATGGAACGGTGACTGCACATGTATCAGGAAGCCAATATTTCAATTAGTGCACAAAATGGCACTCCTGCTAAAGAAATTACAGGCTTTTCAGTAAAGAAATTGAAGTTGGCTGAGGAGGTGCACATTAAAAAGAAAAAAAAACCTTTCTTTTTAGTTTAGGAATATCAGATACCGTCAGAAGCATTTAAATACCTCTCAATTCTTGTGCTTTCTTTCCCAGTTTTGTCCAATTCTTCCCCAGTTTTGAGGGTCACCCAGGAAGGAAAGCAGGAAGTTTTCTGGCCTTTTATGCTGTGATTGTAGAAGAGCTGGTTTGTTTTGCCCACCATTTTCTCTCAACTGATATTTGACAGAGTCACCTCATCCATTTGCTCTAAAAGATAAGAGACAATTCATGCATAGGGATTTCATATTTCAGTTATTATTCTACATAGGTTGATTGTACAGGTAGGTGTCGACTTAACAATTAATTGTTCATTTGGTGGCCAAAGTTACAACAGCAATGAAAAAAAAAAGATTTTTGATGGTTTTATGACTGTGGTAATATTCCGATGGTGAGGTAAGAATTTTTAAAGAATGTTCTCTTAATGGTTTTCTTATACTCGTTTAATTCCCAGATGGAGAATTCTGGGAATTGAAGTCCACACATCTTAAAAGTCACCAAGGTTAAGGAACACAGACCTAGAAGACTGCTGCTCAGGTGAATTGAATAGAAAGCTTAAGTTTTTTGTAAACGTTTCTTCCCAGAGGTAAATAGCCAGCTAGAAATCATTTTCAAGAACTTGTTTTACTGGACTCTAGTTTGCTATATATTGGGTCTTGTAGTTTGACTCTACTGCTGAAGGAGAATAATTACCATTACATATGGCAGCATAACCAAACAATTAGCTATTTCAATGAAAAAGGAACATGGTGGATAATTAGTGAAGAACTTGTCACAATGTTGTATAAAATTTTCTGTGATACAATAAGTCTATTAACCTACAGATTGGAATATCTTGAAGTTGTATTTGATCTACTCAATATTTAACAGATTAACAAAGTTGGGAGGGACTTTGTAGGTCATCTAGTCCACCACCACCCAAGCAGTGGACCCTACACCATTTCTGATAGATGGCAGTCCAGTCTCTTCGTGGAAGCTTTCAGTGATGAAACTCCCACAACCTCTAAAGTCAAGCTACTCCATTAGTTGATTGTTCTCACTGCCAGAAAATTCCTCCTTATTTCCAGGTTGAATCTCTCCTTGTTCAGTTTCCATCCATTATTCCATGTCTGGCTTTCAGGTGCTTTGGAAAATAGCTTGACCTACTCCTTTCTGTGGCAGCCCCTCAGATATTGGAACAGTGCTATCATATCTCCCCTGGTCCTTCTCTTCACTTTTCATTTTCATTTGTGTGTCATTGTATTGCCAGCTGTATTGTTTTATGTGCTGAAGTCAACAGCTAGTAAATTGCTACCTATCTCTGAAGATATATTGCATTAGACACCTCAAATGGAAGTGATTTGAGTATCTGAGATTTTGCAATATATCAGGAAATTAAATAAGGCATTCCTTGCCCTAGTTTCAGAATCTTTAGTGCATATTGTTAAACTATTTTTGTAGTTCCAGTACTTTAAAGTAGATCTGTTTTTAAAATAAACATTAATTCTTGAACCTTAGAAATAGAATGAATATTTTCATATCGGATTTATATGAAATAAAATAGGTATATAGAAACACAAACTGTTATTTCTTTTCATTAATACTGCAGAATATTCTCAACAACTTGATGAAAATATTGACTTGCACTCAGATCATAACTATATCTCAGATTTCTGTCATGGAGCAGGTACTGTTAAGAAAAACAAAATTCATCCTCAGTGAATTTGGTACTTTTTTTCAGGTTTGAACAAGTTGTTCAAGATTTGTGGGAACAATCTCAGCTGACTATACTGGAATCTGCTATAATATATCTGGATGCAGCTTGAGGGTGAAGCTGTTCATATTTATTCCAGATATGATGCTAACATTATAAGACTTTATATAAGATTCTCTTTGGCTTTTGATCATACGGTCTCTTGGAGATCCATCTGTCAATCTATTAATCCATCCATCCATCCATCCATCCATCCATCCATCCATCTATCTATCTATCTGGCATGGTGTTATCTATTTCTTCATTTCAATCAAGAGAAATTGTGCAATTGACAACAGATATCCATTGAAGAAATAGACAGAGTGAGAAAGAACTAAATTTGAATTCCAATCAGAATAATGTGGTTAGTTTGTACCAAGAATTAAGATAACCCATTTAGAGATGGTTTTTACTACTCCTGAAGGAGCAAGTTACTAGACAGAATGTATACTCAGTTTTAGCACATTCCTCAGTAGTGGATGTTTCTTGAAAATGTAGCTTGGCTTTAATCATTCAGCCTTCAATGATTTCAGCTGGATTTGTGTGGTGTTTTCATTGAACAAAGGACAGCAGATGATCAAATGAGGCAGCTAAGCGAAATCCCTGTTCCCTGCTTTTGAGCTTGTGGCCAGAGTGAGTCACATTTCATTGATGTATAAAGCCCTAGGTCTGTGATAGTGAATCTATGGCACGTGTGCCAAAAGTGGCATGCAAAGCCATCTCTGCCAGCATGCGAGCATGTGGTGCACAGGAGTGCCCTGCATATATGCGCAGGGGGAGAGGGGTCATGCGCGCATTGCATTATGGGTGCAGGAATGCATGCATGCACATATGTGCACTTTTGGCAACGACCGAAGGTTAGCCATCACTGCCCTAGATATATTGTGAACCAAATACTTAACGAAGTGCACCAGAGCTGATCCATGATTGAAAAGCCTGTGGAAAACCCTGCTTTTTTAAAAATAAACTTTATTGAATTTTATTACATTAAAAACATAAAAAATATATAATTCAATAACAGCTGTTGGGGACGTTTATCATGTAACAATCATTTGTGCGATATTTACAAATATTAATTTGTGCATAATTATATTCTTATTCTGTCTATATTCTATATTTAATAATTACTTATCCTTAATCTGTCTCCAATCTATCCAGCCATGCCATTGTTCCCATACCTTATAAAATATTGAAGCTTCCTTATCTTTTAAACTCAGCGTTAATTTATCCATTTCAGCACAATTCATAACTTTTTGTATAACCAGTCCCTCCACAGGTGTCTATGGCTGTTTCCAACATTGGGCAAAGGTGATCCTGGCAGCAGTCAGCATGTGTAAAACCCTGCTTATGGACTATTCATGGGAATGGCGCCTAGCAGAAAGATCCCAGGTGAACTTAATTGAAATGGCAGCACCCTGATTGTATAATTATGATCAGTCATGCTTTAGAACTTTAATCTGTTTCAAATATT